AGGCCTCTCACGAATTCTTATCTTGCAACACTTCGACCATCTATCCTCGACTTCATCTATACTCGAAATCCACCCCGCCTCAACTTACACACCTCGGCTTCAGCAACGACCTCTCCGAGTCCTCAAAGCCTTCGGCCAGCACCAACCAAAATACAATCAAATAGTAAAACATTGGTTCATGTAGTGAATCTCATCCGGTGGAATAAGATTTAGATGATATTAAATTATGACCCGTCATTTACATGATAAAAAGTGAAAACATTCTACTGGACCATGAATTCAATCGAAACAAGGACTTACATAGAAAGTATGCCAGACAAAAGAAAGGAGCTTAATTAACGACATTTCCATATGATGCCAAAAAATTAAAAAAAAAATGAAGAAGAAATGCAACATTATTATTTGGTTGGTTATTATCAACATAGAAATGGAAAGCCCATAATTCTACCGATTTCATATTGCACGTACTATTATGGAGGGATGCCGACTGATCATCTCAACAACTGGGTCATGGCCACAAGCTCACAAAACTACAAAGCCTATCGTCCCCTCACCAGTTCAACACTGTATAGACCCTCATCACCAACCAATCAACCTCCTAGAGGTTGAGAGTCGAGACTTTTGGATGGGAGTGATTGTTCTGGCCACACGCGCACCATATCTTCAAATATTAATTCACTGCCTTTCCATCTTGAACATTCTATCTTCCCTGCATTTTCTATTTGCTATTTCCAGTTGGACCCATCAGGCCATCGTCTATCTCCTCCTCTATTATGTCTCTCTATTTTAATGTCTTACACTGTTCAAGCCAAACAAGCCTTAACAAATCATTGAGGTAGGTGCACGTGTTTACACGCAAGCACTCCTAAAAATATTAAAAATACCTGTTTTCCCTGACGTTCACATGCATCCCACTAAATATCTCAAATAAAACAACAAATCACTTATTAATTTACTATATTACCCCCCTACACCCGGCACCATCCTGCGCTAAATCATGGGCCGTCCATCTGGTCCGACTGTATCATTGTATGTATGGTTCAGCGAAACTATTCTCACCCAGACCCAACCAGGTTGCCCGATCTTAGGGAGAGAATTGTGGGTCCCACATAAGGCGATTATGTGGACTTGTTATGTTTCCATTTTCTTTGCTACCAATTCCGTGGAAAGACGATTAAATACATTGTTTGGCTCGGCCAGCTATTTCTTTTGCCTAGTTCTTTGGTTTATGAGGAGGTTTCGTTGGAATGGTGGGTCCCGTAACACAACGTACACAATAATTAGTGAATGCTGTCGAGATTCAGTGAACCCGATTGCAATCTATTAAAGTAATATCCATCCTTTTTTCATCAGAAATATGACGTCACCGATATGGATTTTCTCGCATCAAAATTCTTTTTTTAAACAAAAACCTACCCGCTTATATCGGCGATCCTAGGTACGACCGTCTAAAAGCCCCCCGGACTCAATCGTTTGATCATACTCTGCGGTGCTGATTTGTTTCCAGGTGTCTGGTCCCACCGCGGCCCCACATCATAGTGTCAGCCTAAGCCTATAAAGTATAGAATATTGATTTGATTTCCACCACTATAAATAGGAAGTGGAACTCGGAACTTGTTTTCTGACTACTTTGATTACAATGGGACACGATGCATCCTCCTAATTATAAGACATTTTGGTGTCTCTTACTCTCTTTAAGTGCCACGTGTTATTTGGAGAAAACCAGTTCTCTAGTCGTCTCTAATTTATATGCAGTAGTAGCACTGAGTGAGTGAGAGCATTTATATAACGTCACGTGTTCGAAATAAGAAAGTTGGAATTGGAGATTGGGACGAATTTGGATCTGCTACATCTCTTTACTCGTAAGTTATTTTTGACGGGAGATGTTAACTAATACAGAGTAGATGTAGATGAATGTGAGGAACAGATCCCATTCCCTTACATACATATCCCATCGTGTATTAAAAACATTTTCCATAAGTGACGGGATCTGCTCCTCACAAATGACCGTCTCACAATTACATCCATCGTATATTAGAAACATAATAACATGTGAGCGCCAGGTGTGAGGAGCAGATCCCGTTTCCTCCCATAAATAATAATACATTAATCCTAGCGGAATGTCTGTGAGATCGGTGTGAGGCGTCATGCGTCAGCAGCGAATGCGGTCTAGGTTGGGACCCACCATGAGGCCCTTAATGATTATCACATGGTTGCCATATCCCACCATATAATTCTGTATCGAGAACACGTAATAAAAACACCCGAGCATCTCGATGTCCACGTACACATTAGCTTTCCGCCACCGCAAGGCAAAACCGCTACCGCTAGTATTTTTTTCTTCTTTGAGCTGAATCAGTAACAGTTAGCGCGAGATCTACGCCTCTGACTTAATAATTGTCAGATGCTCGCTCCCCTACTCTACACTCTACAACCTATTCCTATTACCGTAAGTTTCCGTTTTGAACAACTGCCCCAGGCTCAGGCCCAGTTCAAACATAGTTTGACTATCTTCTGCTCCTCCTAAAGCAGCCGATATACCGACCACGACCACCCTTTGACCAAAATATAACCTTAAGAGTTGTGAGATACTTCCCGGCTTTCCGAATCGCCGATGGCAAATGGGCTTATCGCGTAAACGTCGATATCTCGTAATTCTAGCCACCGGATGCGGATGATGCTTTGTGGGCCCAGCGTTCGGTAAAAGTGGCCCCACCACCTTAATATCTGAGAAGAGAAGCGAGGCTGCGAGAGAGAACAAGATAAGGTCCAGTTTAGTTGAGGGTAGTAGGGTAGTACGGATACGGTTTTCCCTAGTAAAGCAAAGCAGTGAAGGAAGGTTGAGCGGCGAGGAGAGGAGACCGGATCTGCTCTTCACTTATGGCGCCTCACAGTCACATCCCACCGTGCATTTGGAGCATCTCTCGTACTCACGGTGGGATGTGCCCGTGAGGTCGTTGTGAGGCGCCATTAGTAAGGAGCAGATCCCAATTCAGCGGGGAGGCGACGAGAAAAAGGGGAGCAAGGCAGCAAGCAAAAAGCGCGTGTGTGAGAAAGGAGTGCGTGTGCGTTACGTGCTTGCATGTCGTTCGCGGGACCATGCATGATTTCTTATTCTATTAATTGTTTTTTATTAATAAATAAAAAACACTGAGAAAAAGGAGAAGACGAGAGTAAAAATGGAATTTTGATCCATAACGACAACCACGACGACGACGACGACGACGACGACGTGAGGGGGAAAAAGAAGAGTAGAGAGAGAGAGAGAGAGAGAGAGAGAGTGAGGCTGTGTGTGATTACTCTGATTAGTGAGTGACAAGAGAATGAAAAGGGAGAGAGAATAACGAAGAGAGAGAAACGACGACGACGCCAAAAATAAGGCACGCCACGCCTCGCCTCGTCGTGTTTTAAAAGCTTTGTTTTCCTTATTTTATTTTTGTTACTTGTGTGTTTCTCTCTCTCGCTCTCTTTCTCTCTCGCCCACTCCAAAAAACCCCTCTCCAACCTCTCTCTCATGATTACAGATCACGGCACCACGCTCACCTTCTGTCATCCTTTTGGAGTACGTCTCTAGGGTTTTTGTTTTCTTGCTTTTCTACTTTTGTGGCTCTGAAAGTGGAGAGCTTCGATGTCGTCGTCGTCTTCTGCGGCTGCTTCTGCTGTTCAGAAGATCTGTTTCAATCCCGACTGTAAGGATGCTAAATCGGAGAGGTTGAGGAAAGGATGGCGCCTTCGGAACGGAGATTATGCGGAGCTCTGTGATCGATGCGCGTAAGCAATTTTTGCTCGTCTCTGTTTTCTCTGCTCTGGTGCTTTCAAGTTTTTGTCTTCATTTGGATTTCGACGTTTAATTTGTTGTAACGGCTAGTTTTTCGAGGTTGGACGATTAGCTTGCATAGGATTTTTATGTGCTCTTGAAGCTTCCACAGATTGCTTTGTGCTTGATTCCGTGGAGTCTACTGCTGTTTTGGGTTTCTCTTTGACTGAGTACGATTGTTTTGAACTAAAACTTCGGATTTTTTTTAACGATATTGGGTTTTGTTCGTGAAACAACGGTTTTGCTTTTCGCTTTTAGTGGATACGGAACTTCATTTGGAGTTGGATATTCCATTTTACATTATCTAGTTTGCTGTGGCTTTGGTCCTTTCCAATTCCAAGTGCGTCCTTATTTGATAGAAAAGGTTGTAGTTGATGTTCGTAAATAGGTGTTTACTCCATTCATTTTCTGAAACTTTGTCTTGAATATAGCTGTTTTCTTCTCCATTTTCTTTTGATCCTAAATTTTCTTCACCTCTTCAGCTAAATTGCTTTGATTCTATGTCATATTCAATGGTTTCACCTGAAACATGTTTGGCATATATCGATTAGTTTCAACCTAGTCAGCTTGTTTTTCCTGTGGGTTAGTTTGACTCATCCAGTGTCAGGGGTAATTTCATGGGTTCTAATAATTATTCCTTCGCTTCTGTTTAAACGGTATTTTTAAGGGTCGTACGTTACTTGGAATAGGAAGTGGAAGCATCGGCATAACATGTTCCTGTTTCTTCTAATTTTTTCCATTTTCTCGCTTCCGCATTTACTTTCTTTATAGAAGAGTTTACCTTGTGGCTCAGGAATTCGGTGAATAATTCTATTTGAACCGTTTAAATGGCTCTGGTCTTTCCTTTCGGGATTGGACTTACCAGAAAAAAAAAAAAACAGCTTTAGGTGACTATTTGGTATAGCTCGATATTATTTACGTTCTGGCAGGAATCAAACAGAATGTTTCCTCTCAAGACTTTCAATTTACTGTTATCAAAATTTTCTTTCAATATTTCCCCTTAAAAAGGTAAATATTCTTGCCTAATATGATTCCCAATTAAATACTTGGAATGCCACCTAAGACTCTAAATGGAAAACTGGTTCAATTAGATTAAACTTACATGTCAGTTCGTAGTAAATCAAAGGAGAAAAATTATCTTAATAAATTGTTTCTATAAAGAAAGAAAAAACTATAAAATAGGAAACTAATAGGTCCTTTCCTTATTTCATTAGATCCTAACAAAGGAAAGTGCAAAGTTCCTAGTCAAGTATCTCTACCATGAAAGGACTAATTAAGGTCAAACAATATAGAAGCCTACCCCTATCAAACCTCATTCGTTAAGGTGGTGTTTGGTTAATGATTCTGAAAAAGGTTGATATGGTTCCAGAACCATACCAATCTCTTCTTGAAAATGACAATTCTTTTTGAGCCACACAATGTAAAAGAGGCTATTCTGTTCATGGCCATTTTTTGAATGATGATATATGAGTATTGATTGTAAGATTCATGTGTACATTCTCTATTTATTTTTCATCATACAGTCATCATCAAATAGAGACATTATGATTGGAGCCATATTGGTATATGAGACACACCATATATCTGCCATGCCATGCTTACATTAGTGAATCATATTTCCTGGTTGAAAAGAAAAAAGCAATAAAAAGTTGTGTGAAAAAAGACAATTTGCTGGTTCTGGAACCATGGAGAACCACCAATAGCATATAGAACTCAGGTTGAGTTCGTGAACCAGAGGAAACATGAACACAAACACGAACCGACCACCCTCTAAAGGGTTGCAAGTCATAGATTACAAACCCAAACCCAAACTGAGCAAGCCCATGTGTAACTAGGCTTGGATTACCTTATAGGAAGATGGAACGTTATTTGCAGAATAAAGAATCCTTTTGTCCGGGTTTTCTTTTTATTATAGACTAGAATAGACCTGCCTCAGTTCAAATTGTGCTAATTATCTTCCCATTCAGTGTGCTGCTGATCCTGTCTTACACGAAAAATCAAGGTTATGAATTTGCTGACTCTGTGACTTTACTCCTTTGTACTCCAGTTCTGCATTTGAGGAAGGGAGATTCTGTGAAACTTTTCACTCAGAAGCTGCTGGTTGGAGGAGCTGTGAGATCTGTGGGAAGGTAAGCTGAAAATTTGGATGTTGTTTAGACATTAAATGGTTACTTACATTTTGAGAATTTTTTCTCAGATCTCACAGTTTATGCTCTAAATGTTCTAGTGGCTAATCTCTTCTGCAGCGGGTACATTGTGGATGTATTGCTTCATTCCATGCATTTTTATTATTGGATGTTGGAGGAATTGAGTGTATTGCATGCGCTAGGAAAAATGTAATTCCGGTAAGAACTGTTTAACCTGTTCCTCATCAGATCTCCTAGTGCTTTCTCACTGCTGTTAGCCTGTTCTTCATGTGCTAAGTAAAATTCACTTGTTCTGTCTTCTTCTGATTGTCCAATGCAATGATAGAATTTTCATTTTTTTTTACTAATCCATGTTAGCCCTCATTATTAGGTCTGTATGCAGGTCGGTTAGATTTGGTTTTACATAATTTTGCCAACTGAATTAAAGTGTCAGGTTGAGTTTTATAACCAAAACTGACCAATTAACATCCAAAATGACTGAAAAATTATATTCACATGATGCTCAGTTTAATCAGCTTGTATCACACTGAACTGAAATTCATAGCTTCCAAGCTATGTTGTACACATGATGACTAATGGGACAAGTCTTGATAGAAAATAAATAAATAAATAAAAAGACTGGTGTGGACAAGACTGATAATGTAAAACTACAGAGTGTAAGATGTTAGACCTGGATTGAAGTGGGACCTAGAAAATCTGTTCTCTTGCCACAGTGAAAAGAAAAAAAAAACCACATACACAGAGGCTAGGGTAAATCTAATTGGTTGGTTTGGTTTCAGTTCAGTTTACAACATCGAAACGCACAACCTAACCAAACAGTCGGGTTTACAACTTTTCATATCAAACCGGGTGACTTATTGGAAAACTGACCAAATTTGGTCGAGTTGAGCTGCTTTGGTCGTTTGGTTGGTTCTTACCATTTTGCGAACAGCCCTACTCATTATTACTCTTGGGATATTTCAGTTTTAAATCATTTTCCTAATATATGTGGTGCATTTTCATTTGTACATTGAAGCTAAATTCCAATTACCATTGAACCTTGTGAGCTCTGTTTAGTTTTTTGAGCATGCCCAAACACATTGAAAACAGTTGTCTTGAAGCCATCTTACTACAGTTTCTTCAGAATCAACTGGTGTGTTAACAGCCTCTCATCACGAAAGTAAAGGGCAGCCCAGTGCACGGGGCTCCTGCCAATTTGGGGTCTGGGGAGGGACAGATGTATGCAGCCTTGCCCTATACATACAAAGATGCTGTTTCTAAGATTTGAACCCTGGTTAACCAGGTCACAATGGAGTAACCCAACCATTGTGCCAAGGCCTGGTTTAGTGTTTTGGGTGGTTGTCTGCTAACAAGGTTCAAAGTATCGATATGCTACTGCATATCGGCAGTATCATATCGGTACTTAGAAACACACGAAACACTTTTCTTTTTAGTTTTTTTTTTCAAATCTTGGTTTTTGGGAAGCTAAAAATAGGTTTTTTTTATTAAAAAAAGGTGGGGTTCCCGAAACACTTGTATTGTATCGGGGGTGTATCTTTTTCAAAAGATACGATACGATACGCCTGATATGGGGCGTATCGTATCGATACTTTAAACCATGGCTGCTAATACTAACTTGCTTTCTTGCATTTATTCTTGCTTGTTGACTAAATTGATTTCACTCTACCCAGGTACGTTAATTCTTTGTTTTGAGCAATTTCTATCTTAGCATCATGCAAAATATAATTCTTTGCTTTTCTTTGCATTTTATAGAAGAATACAATCTACACTGTATTAATTTAGTTGTAATAGTATTATCGTCCTTCTTTTGATGTTCAATTTATTGTTCATGTCAAAATTTAGTTCTTGTCTTAAATCAGATATTTATTCTTGTTTGTGCTGTTCAGCCGAACTGAGAAAAGAGGAATGTTTGTTCTGTAGCTACAGTAGTTCGAACCAGGAGAAAAGAAGAAGAAGAAGA